GATCGAAGGGAAGGGGCTTCCCTTCGACTCGATTACGACACTGCTAGATTTTTCTCTCGCTCACGAGCTTGAGAAGGAAGCCGCAGGGAAAGGGGACGACGGAGGCGACGACCGACGGAGACGACGACTCGAACAGCCAAAACCCCCGCACACGCCGACAGGATAGGCGGATTGTTCCTGTGTTTTCGGGGCCGTTCTCAGCTATTTCTTGCTTGTGTTTTCCTGGCCAGTTCCTTCCTGGAGATTCCTGGTCCAGGAATTGTTCTTGGTAATTCCAGGGTGTTTCACTTTTGAGAATTGGAGTTCTTGGGCCTGTCTGGGTCCTCAAGGATCTTCGCGGTTCGGTCGGTTCAGCTGCGTCGCAGTCGGGTCCGTTCGGTCGGTTCGGCTCGGTTGGTTATTGTGTCGTTGCTGCGTCGTTGCGCCTTCCAGGCTGTTTGGGGCCTGTCGATTTCGGTCGGTTTCGGTTTTGTTGTCGGTTCGGTCGGTTTTTCGATTCTGCTGTCGCCGTGCATGGCCTTGGGCTTGGCGGGAGGAGGAATTTGGGAGTTTCGGGTTCGAGGTTCGAGGTTTTGGCGAATTTTCGTCAGTTCTCGGCGGTTTTCCAGCCTCGGGATGCTCTCCAGCAGCTGCGCATCGCCCAGAGTGTCGTTGGGGTGCCAGGATCGCCCCGAACGGCCGCCGAAGAGCCGGTCTACGATCCAAAACAAAATTTCGCGGCGCGCAGCCGAACCCCTGAGATCTCGGCGTTCCCTGTTTGTCTCACCCGGCGTTTTCGCGCAGTTTCGGGCCCCGGGGCCTTCACATATCGATCCAGCTCGGAAACGGCGCAGAAATGTGGTGTCCATAGGGCTCCAGTGGTGACTGTTTCAGATCTTTATTTTCTCACGATGTGGGATTTTTTGCCTTAAGAACGAGGCTCCGAGACGAAGTGAGGCGGCCGGTCTTTGGGCATTTTCGGCCTCCAGGGGCCCTCAACGGGCCCCGGGACCGCCAGAAATCGATTCAGGGTTAAAGATTGGCTTCAGGGATGTTGTCCAGGCTTTTTGGGGTCCGCGCGTCTCACAAACATCGGAGCGCCAGATGTCTGGGACAGACCTGTTTGGGTCTTGGGCCCCCCCTCGCAGGGGCCATTTCGGTCCTCTTGTCTCGAATCGGTTCCCTTTCGAGGATTTCGAGGAGGAGGGGGAGGGGGAGGGGGACGAGTCGGTTCGATTTCGAGGATTTCGATTTTCATTCGATTCCGCTTCGAATTCCGACTTCGGCCTGAGTTTTCTCTTGTGCAGGCCTCGGCTCGGGCCGCCGGGCGTCGCTCGCGATGCCTTCCGATCTGCCGCCGACATCTGCCGCTTCGGCGCAGGTTGACTGCCGCTCCGAGGGTCCGACTCGACTCCTCCTCCTCCTCCTCCTCCTCCTCCCTCCTCCTCCTCCTCCTCCCCTCCTCCTCCTCCCCTCCTCCTCTCCCTCCTCCTACCTCCTCCTCCGCCCTCCTCCTCCTCCTCCTGCCTCCTGCCTCCTCCTCTCCTCCTCCTCCTCCTCCTTTCTCCTCCCTCCCTCCTCCTCCCTCCTCACCTCCTCCTCCTCCTCCTCCGCCTCGCTCCCTCCTTCTCCTCCTCCTATCCTCCCTCCTCCTCCTCCTCCTTCTTTTGTCCTCCTCCTCCTCCTCCTCCTCCTCCTCCTCCTTTTGGCCATCCTGCCCCTGGCGCGGAGGCGGCCCCAGAGGGGCTCTGGTGCCTCGGGCTGCGCCGGGGGCCGACTGGGGGGGGGGGGTCGGCACGACGCCCTGCCCGGGCCGCTCGAGCTCGGGCTCGGGCCAGGGTCGGCGGGGCCGCCAGGCGGGCACCCTGCGCTGAGCGTGCGGCAGATTCGCGTCGTGTCGACAAGCGGCGACCCCGCCGCCGGCGTTCCGCGCTGAAGGCCGCTGGCGACCCATAACCGGTCGACGTTGAACCCTCTGATGGTTCGGGAGCGGCCTGTCGTTCAAGGTCGAGCGATCCACGGGGGGTCAGTAATCAGCGCTCTTTGCATGCATGTTTGTGTTCTGTCTCCTCCTCTTCCTCCTCTTCCTCCTCTCCCTTACAGCACAGGCTGTGCTGAGCTTGTTCTCCCGCCCACGCGCCGGACGGCGTATGGCTTGTGTGTGTGGGTCGACACGACGCGAGCTTGCCGTAGATAGAGGCCTCCTCACGCGCAGGCGGCGCCCCCCCCCCCCCCCCCCCCCCCTGCGCGGGTGTCGCCGCGGGAAGTGGCCCTGGCCCACGGCGCTCCGGACCTGCCGCGCCGCGGTGGTGCCCCTGGAGCCCGCAGGGCCTCGTCGGGGGTGCTCAGGATCGGCGGCGAGCGAGGGGGGGAAGTGAGAAGGGGAAGGCCTTCTCAGAAGGCGGCGGGACTTCTCAGAAGCCCTCGCGCCTTCTGAGAAGTTTTTTGTGTGTCTTCGGGGAAGGCTCAGAAGACTTCTCAGAAGGCTGGGGAACTTCCGAGCCCTCCGAGAAGCCCCGCCCCTTCCTCGCCTCCCCCCCTCGCCCGCCGCCAACAGGAAGCCACCTGCGCCCTCCTGGGCTCCACCTTCGTGCAGGGGCCAACTCCCCCGAGATCCGACGGCGCAGCACACACACTGCAGAGGCGTGTGAAATCCCGACCTTAGGCCCGATAGACACCATCTCTCCGCTGCTTCCCTCGAGCCGCCGTCGACCCGCGAGGGCCCCGGGGCCCGAGGCCCGGGCGAAGACGACGGGCTCCAAGCGCCGGGGAAACGGAGGAGGAGGAGGAGGAGGAGGAGGAGGAGGAGGAGGAGGAGGAGGAGGAGGAGGAGGAGGAGGAGGGAGGAGGAGAGGGAGAGAGGAGGAGAGGAGTGGGGAGGAGGAGGAGGAGGAGGAGGAGGAGGAGGGCCTCAGGGATTCCAGCGACGCCCGAGCGGCCGGCGGGGGCCCGGCGGACGCTGGTGGACGCCGCGTGGGCCGAGGCGGCTTTGGCGCCGCTGGGCCTCCGCGCGGAGGGGGGCGCGCCCGTGATGTGGCCGCCGGCGGCAGTGGCGGCCCCGATCCTGGAGGGCCTCAAGGCTCGGGCGGCGAGCGACGGCAGGAGGAGCGGGAGCAGGAGTGAGGAGGAGGAGGGAGGAGGAGAAGGAGGAGGAGGGAGGAGGGAGGAGGGAGGGGGAGGAGGGAGGAGGGAGGAGGGAGGGAGGAGGGAGGAGGGAGGAGGGAGGAGGGAGGAGGACGGAGGGAGGCGGAGGCGGAGGAGGAGGAGGAGGAGGAGGAGGAGGTGGACGCATTTTCGCGCAAGTTTCGCAAACCGTCGTCGCCGCCGCTTCAGTCCCCTCCTACTCCCCCCATCTTGAGGTCATGATCGGTCCCTCTTCTCCTCCTTCTCCCTCCCAATTCTGCTGTCGTTTACCTTGTTCTTCCGTGAACAGCGTGCTCCACCAGCCGGTAATTCCAGGGGCGAGTCATTAGTTTTATCAACCCTTTTTCTGGCGGATTCACAGACCTTCAATACCTCAGTGCCTCAGGATGATGGTGATAATGGTGATGGTGATGATGATGGTGATAATGATGATGCTGCTGGTGGTGGTGATGGTGATGGTGATGATGGCAACGGTGATGATGGCAATGGTGATGGTGGTTGTCCATGACGATGGCGATGATGCTGATGATGATGCTGGTGGTGGTGATGGTGTTGGTGGTTGTGGTGCTGCTGCTGAAGATGATGCAGATGATGATGATAACGATGATGATAATGATGGTTGCGATTATGATGATGATGGTGCTGATGATGATGATGATGCTGATAGTGATGATGCTGATGCTAATGATGATGGGGGTGATGATGATGATACTGATAATCATGATGCTGACGGTGATGGTACTGGTGGTTCTTATGACGTTGATGATGATGCTGCAGATGAGAATGATTTTGAGGATGAGGATGACGAGGATGCTGCTGCTGCTGATGATGATGGTAATTGTGATGGTGCTGGTGATGGTGATGACGCTGATGATGCTGCTGCTGTTGATGATGATGATGATGATCACGCTGATGCTTACGATGATGCTGATGCCCATCTAAGCTGATGCTAATAACGCTGATGATGTTGCTGATGATGATGTTGATGCTGCTGCTGCTGATGATGATGCTGCTGCTGATGATGATGATGATGATGATGATTATGCTGCTGCTTATGCTGCTACTGCTGCTGCTGCTTATGATGATGCGGAGGAGGATTACTTAGATGGAGGGGGAGGAGGAGGACGAAGAGTTGGTACTTCTATCAATCCACCTCGCTGCTTCACCCGCGGCCTAGCATTCGCAGTTCAACTTTCGCAAGCTACCGCCGCCGCCGCTTCAGTCCCCTCCTACTCCCCCCTTCTTGAGGTCATGATCGGTCCTTCTTCTCCTCCTTCTCTCTCCCCGTTCTGCTGTCGTTTACGTTTCTTTTATCGTTGACAGCGTTTTCCACCAGCTGGTTGTATCCCCCCCCTACGGGTAGACCAGCCCTGGGGGGGGGGTCGCGTCTGGCGCGTTCGCAGACCTTCAGTGCCTCAGTGCCTCAATGCCTCGGGAGGAGGAGGAGGAGGAGGAGAATGAGCAGGAGCAGGAGGAGAAGGAGGAGGAGGAGGAGGAGGAGGAGGAGCATGAGTTCCTGGCGTCTCAGTTTTTTCGAGCTGGGCGTTTTCACCAAGCTTCGAGACCCAGGGCCCTCACATATCGATCTGGCTGGGGAAATGGCGCAGGAACGTGAGGTCCATGGCTCCCGTCGCGATTTTCTGCGATGTTTTAATGTTCTCGTTCCGTCGAGTCTCAGAGGAGGAGGAGGAGGAGGAGGAGGAGGACCAGTGTAAACCCAAAAGTCATCATCCATGTTGGAATAGACCCTCCCTCGAAGCTCCCTCTTCATAGGCTCCTACAACGGTTCACTCCCACTGAGGCAATTGCCTCGTTGGAAGACAACCTTTTGAATATTCTGAAGCATGGCAGCATGCCAAAACATTGTTCTCTGGATTCCAACGCCACGGATCAACCTGATTGTTGCGTCTTGCCGGGCCTGAATCGTGCCAGAACGCTATTCCTGGGACGTCGACACTGCGAATCAACGTGTAATCCTAATTCTTTTCAAAACCAATTCTGGTACCGTCGGTCATGGGAATCCGTGAAACTCTTGTGTTTTTGCATCGAATGTGCGCGGTGCTAAGGCGAGAGCCACATTTTGACAAGGAACCGCCTTCAATTCTTGAGGCTCTTGAGTTTGTTGTTTGAAAAGTGTGCGCGGCGCTACGGCGAGAGCCACATTTTGAAAACCACCCGCCCTCAATCCGTGAAGCTCTTGCAACTTATTAGAGCGATGTGCGCGGCGCAAAGGCGAGAGCCACATTTTGAAACCTACCCGCCCTCCATATGCGAAGCTGGTGCCAATTTTTTAGCTTCAGGGTCCCAAGTGGTGATGAAGTCTCAGGTGAATGCCTGGTCCAGGCAAGAGCCTGGGGCGGCGGCAGGATGGGGGGGATAGGCCCTGCAGTGTGAACTTTCCAACAGGTTCGATCGTTTTCGAGGCCAGGGGCGGTTTCCATCAGCGGGGCCTCCTTGAGAGCCTTCGGGTGGTGCCGGGATCGCCCTCAACGGTCGCTGGAGGCCCGAAGTGTGGCCCGAAAGCCAGGGAGCAGAAGGTCATGGGCACCGATAGGGGGGATTGACCCAGGAGGGGCGGCATCGACCTCTCGGGGGCCTTGGCCTGGTAGCCCACGCTGCCCATGAGCGCGCGGTCTCGCGATCCACTGCCCGTCACCGATGCACTGGCGACGTATCGCTGCTGCCACATAAGGGTCGCCCCCCTGAGAGCCGCTCCCCCCCCGCCGCTGCTCCCCCTCGTCGAGGGCATCTGCGGTTCCGCCACTTCGGCCCGCGTCGCAGCCGGTTGCGCTCGGCCGCTTCGTTTCGGTCGGCCGTCGTACCGTTGCCGCGTGGCCGCGTCCATTTGGGCTGCCTGCGGCCTGTCGGTTCGGTTTCGCTGTCGGCCCGGTTGGCTTCCGGTCGTGCTGCTGCCGTCGGTGGCCTCGAGGGGTGTCTCCAGGGCTGCTGGGGACGCCCCCTCAGTGACCTGTTCAGGCCAGCCGGGGCTGCCGGGCGGTCCTGTCTGTGAGCAGCCCGAAGCCTTACCACCCGCGGACGTCTGGAAGCGTGTGTGTTGTGTGTGTCTTGTGTTGTGTTGTGTTGTGTTGTGTTGTGTTGTGTTGTGTTGTGTTGTGTTGTGTTGTGTTGTGTTGTGTTGTGTTGTGTTGTGTTGTGTTGTGTGTGTGTTGTGTCTTCGTGTGGCGTGTCTGGCGGCGCGCGGCCCGCCCCGAGGGGGGGGGGGGCGCGGTCCCGCACCGGTCCCGGGCAGGCCCGCCTGCCTCCCACGGGCGGGTTTGGAGCTTTTCGTTTCAGTTCGGTTGCCCTCCTCCGCCTCCGCCTCCTCGTGCCCTCCCCTCCTCCTGTCGGGGGAGCGCAAGACCCGGGTTTGCCAGGACTCGGGTTCGCCATCGTTTTTTGACGACCGCGCCTCGGATTTTGACGCGGAGGAGTTTCGTGGGATGTTTGCAGCGGGAGGCCTCGTCAAAATGCAGGCTCGGCCTCGCCATTTTTTTTGACGACCTCGTCGGGGATTTCCGAGTCCCTTGTACCCAGGTCTTACGTCCCCCTGATCCTGCTGGGGCTGCCTGGGGGCACCTCGGACGAGAGGGCCCGCAGGGTCGACGAGGAAGCACGTTGCAAGCAGGAGTAGGCTGAAGTCTGGCTTGCTTCTCTACAGGAGGAATATCCAAAAACAGTACAAAAATAGTCTGGGGACTATGTTTTGCGTATGTTTTGATTTGTTTGAGGGGTATTATTCGAGTATTTGTTGATTTTCGCCTAAACTCTGCCTGTGGGGGGACATGCCCGACCTAAGAGTAGTCTGTCCGAGGTCCGCGTGGATGTCTTTGGGCTGGCGCCGGACCCCTCCTGGCGGTGTCTCCGCCGCCGCCCCTGGTCATCTCGGGGATGCAGGGGAGGGTGATATCCTCTCCAAAGGATGGAGGGGACATCATGTCCAGCGTTGACCCCCAAAGTCCGCGCGGACCTTCCAAAGGTTCCAGCTCGTGCAGCTTCCAGCAGTTCTGCCAAGGTGGCGGCCCACGAGGGGCCCCTGATCGTGGCACCAACCCTTTGGCCCAGTCGAAGGCTCAAAAAGTGGGTGTGACTGGGGTCGCCACGCCCTCCGTCGCTCGGTCCATCTCGTGGCACCTCTGCAAACGCTCCGAAAGGCGCTGGAGGGGTCGCCCGGCCTCCACGATGCCCTGCGGGGCACGCGCATCGGGAAGGTGGTCAACGGCTACCGCAACAACCCCTGCAAGGAGGTCGCGCAGGCCGCGCGGGATCTGGTGGCCTCCTGGAAGGCGGCCGTGCGGAAGTGAGACTGCAGGCTTCGGCGCGACGCGATGGTTGATGTGCATTCCCCTCGTCCACGTCGCCCTCGGCCTCGTCTCGTCGCCCTTTCCCCCTTTCTCTTCACCCTTCTCCTCCACCTCGTCCTCGTCCTCGTCGTCGTCGGCGGCGGCGGCGTCGGCGTCGTCGGCGTCGTCGTCGTCGTCCTGGTGCTTCTATTTCTCGGACTCTGACCACTGGGCCTCCATGCTGGAGCGGCGTTGCGCGTGCAAGACGGCACGGCGGCTGCTGCGCTGGCAGGCCCCTCCGCGCGGCCAGCCGCTGGCAGCGGGCGCGCGGGGCGGCACCAGATGAGAGGGGAGGCACGCAGGGGTCGTGCGGGAGGCATGGGGCAGTCGCCCGCACACGCAAAAGTCACGTCCTCCCATCTTCTGTGATGGGCCTGCTCTCCGCCACCACCAACAGAAGCTGGAGGGGGGGGATCCTCCTCCTCCTCCTCGTCCTCCTCCTCCTCCTCCTCCTCCTCCTCCTCCTCCTCTCCTCCTCCTCCCTCCCCCTCCTCCCCCTCCTCCTCCTCCCCTCCCCCCTCCCCCTCCCTCCCCTCCTACTCCCTACTCCCCCCCTCCCCCTCCTCCTCCCCTCCTCCCTCCTCCTCTCCTCCTTCCTCCTCCTCCTCTCCCCCTCCCCCTTCTCCTCCTCCTCCTCCTCCTCCTCATCTCCTCCTCCTCCTCCGCCTTCCGCGCTGGCCCCGAGGCCTACGGGCGGGTGGGCGCACGTGTGACGGGCTGCCTCCGCGGCCCGAGGGGCCACGCCCTGCTCTGCCACCGGCCTCTGGCGGCAGCAACGCCTCCCTCCCTCCCTCCCTCTCCCTGCTCCTGCCACACACACACACAACCACACCCATCACTCCCTCCTCCCCCTTTCCCTCCTCGGAGCCTCCCTTCGCACCTCCCTCCGCTCCTCCTCCGTCCTGCCCCGCTCCTCCCTCCTCCCCAACCCCTCCCCTCCCCCCCCCCGTCGCTCCCGCCGCTTTCCGCCCCCCGCCCTCCCCCCCTCTGCCCTCCCTGGTCCGGCCTCCCGGTCCCAGGCTTGAGCTGGCCAGCACCGGTGCAGGTACGGTGTTCCGAGTGGCGTAGAGTAATCGCCCCCCCCCCCTTGGGTTCGAGGGGGGAGCTTCGGCGCGTGCCGTCGGGGGGGGGGAGGGGGGGGGGATGGCAGTTTTGACGCTCCAGTTCCTGGGCCAGGGGCGGGGGAAGAATTTTGGACGCGCGCGGAGTGGCGGAAGGAGGAGGAGGAGGAGGACGGGGAGGAGGAGGACGAAGGAGAAAAATAAGCATCATCATAACAATCACATTCGTCTTAGTGAAACTATGATGTTCATGTGTACTAATAACCATAAGCAGAGCAAAACGGATAATCATAATACTAAGACGACGAGTAAGACACTTGGCGAATAAGAAAAAGACGAACATAATACTAAGGAGATGAATGATAACATTAAACAATGAGACTGATACTTGAGCATACAAGACTAAGAATAATATTCATACCAATAATAAGAGGAGGAGGAGGAGGAGGAGGAGGAGGAGGAGGAGGAGGAGGAGGAGGAGGAGGAGGAGGAGGAGGAGGAGGAGGAGGAGGAGGAGGAGAGGAGGGAGCGAGGGGGGGGAGGGAGCGAGAGGGGGGATGGGAGGGAGGGGAGGGAGGGAGGGAGGGAGGGAGGGAGGGAGGGAAGGGGAGCGAGGGTAGGAGGAGTAGGAGGAGGAGGAGGAGGAGGAGGAGGAGGAGGAGGAGGGTAGAAGGAGGATAGGGGAGGAGGAGGAGGAGGAGGAGGAGAGGAGGAGGAGGAGCAGGAGGAGGTGTGAGGAGGAGGAGGAGGAGGAGGAGGAGGAGGAGGATGAGAACGAAGAGGAGGAGGAGGAGGAGGAGGAGGAGGAGGAGGAGGAGGAGGAGGAGGAGGGGGACGGGGACGCTCCGTCTGAAGGTGAGTCAGCCCCCCCGCCGTTTGTAATGCCATCGGGAGTATGGGTTCGCTCCATGTAGACCAGACCCACGGAGACCCCCGCCGCCGGCACTCCACGCTGCCGGCGACCTCAAGATCGGTCGGTGTCGGGAGCCTTGAGACGGGGGTCAATGCAAACGGGGGTCAGCCAGAGCGCCCGATTTTGCAGGGTCCTGCAGGGCCAGGGTCGCATTGACCCGGGTGTGGGCGCAGGGTCCTGCAGGATCTTGCAGGATCCTTCGCATCGACCCGGGTGTGGGTGCAGGATCTTGCAGGATTTTGCAAGGCCTGACTGACCTGGGTTTGGATCGAACCGGGGCAGTCGATCCCCGACGGTGTGGAGCGATTTGGCGCTTCGGAGGCAGCCGATCGTTCCAGGCGGAACGGTCCTTGCGGTGTCGGGCACCAATGCTGGGGTCGACACGACACGAACCCGCGGCAGGGGCATGACGTCATCCTGGGGCACGTTTCGGGAGCGGCCGATCGTTCAAGGTGGAACGATCCCCGCGGTGTCAGGAACCATCGATGGGGTCGACCCGTAACGAGTCACGAGCCCGCCGTAGCGGCATTGCGTCATCCTTGGGCGATCGGAGCTGGACCAGCTGTGGCCAGTCGGCGCTGCTTTCCAATCAGCCCAGCGAGACCGTGCTCGCAGGCTTGCCAGACAATGCGCAGGGGTGCCGCCAGCCTCCTTCCTTCTTCCTACCTCCCACCGCGCGCACGCCCAGGGGAGGTAAGAATCGCGGGCGCGTGAGGGGGAGGAGGAGGAGGAGGGGGAGGAGGAGGGGAGGAGGAGGGATAAGAGGGGGAGCAGACGGGGGAGGGGAGGGAGGAGCAGGAGGATGATTATGAGGAGGGAGAAGGAAGATGAGGGGAAGGATTTTGGAAGGAAAGGTAGCGATGAAGACGAGGACGACGAGTGATGATACAAGTGATGATGATGATGCTGATGACGATGGTAATGACGATAACGATGACGATGATGCTGATGCTGATGCTGATGCTGATAATGATGATGCTGCTGCTGATGATGCTGATACCGATGATATTGATAATTGTGATGATGGTGGATACTTTGATGATGATGGTGATGACGATGATGGTGATGCTGATGATGTTGATGATCATCGTGGCAATGATATCGATTACGATAGTGATGCTGATGCTAATGATGATGATGCTGACGATGATGTTGATGCTGCTGCTGATGACGACCACGACCACGACCACGATGCCGACGACGACAACGACGATGATGCTGCTGATGATGATGATGATGACGGTGATGGTGCTGGAAGTTGGGATGATGATAATGCCGATGTTCATGCTGGTGCTGATGATATCGATTACGATGAAGACGACGACGACCACGACGACGATAACGATGATGATGATGCTGATGACGATGCTGCTGATGGATTATGGTGGTGATGACGACTCTGATGCTGACCATGGTGAATACGATGGTGAAGACGGCGACGCCGACGGTGATGCTGATGACGATGATGACGATGCTGTTGCTGCTGCTGATGATGATGATGATGTTGACGATGACGGTGATGATGATCATGGCCGTGGTGACGGTGATGAAGATGGGGATGCGGATGCTGATGTTGATGCTGCTGTTGCTGATGGAGATTGTGATGATGCTGATCATGATGATGACGATGCTGATGATGATGACGATGCTGATGATGATGAGGGATGACGGCGATGATGATGACGACTAGGATTGCAATGATTGACACGATCATGACCATGACAACGTCAACCAATATATGCTGACGACAATAATGATGATGCTGATGATGGTGAGGGTGATGATGATGGTGATGACGATGCTGACGATGATGATTATGATGATGATGATGAGGGTGATGATGATGATGATGCTGATGATGGTGATGATGGAGGTGGTGGTGGTGATGCTGATGATGTTGATGATGTTGGTGATTATATTATGAGAAGGATGACGATTGCGGTGATGATGATGGTGATGATGATGACGATGACGACGCCGCTGCTCACGGTGATTTTGATGTTGATGACGATGCTGATGAAGATGACGATGATGGTGGTGGGTGTTGGTGGTGATGAAGCTGGTGATTGTGATGATACTGATGATGGTGGTGATGGTGGTCATGACGAGTTGGAGGAGGAGGAGGAGGAGGAGGAGGGAAAGGAGGAGGAGGAGGAGGAAGTGGAGGTGGTGGTGGAGGAGGATGCGGGAGGAGAAGTTCACAGGAGGAGGAGCATGCTGCGGAGCTGGTTGACGACGACGACGACGCCCAGGGACGACGAGGTCTCCCCCCTCCGACAGCCGCCGCCGCCGACGCCTCCGCGGGCCACCGACGGCCGCCTTTGTGCCCCAACGTGCCCCATGGCCTCCGAGTGCCGCCAGCGTCCGCCGAGGCCTCCGGCGGCCGGGGCGAGGGCCTCCCCCCCCCTCCTCCACCTCCCCCTCCTCCTCCCCCTCCTGCTCCTCCTCCTCTCTCCTCCTCCTGCTCCTCCTCCTCCTCCTCCTCCTCCCGCTCCTCCTCCTCCTCCTCCTCCTCCTCCTCCTCCTCCTCCTCCTCCTCCTCCTCTTCCTCCTCCCCGCGGGCGGCGGAGGACGCGGCGTCCTTCACGGGCGCCACCAGGCAGAAGCTGACGGCGCTGGTGCAGGCCGGCGGGGGCGGGGAGAGGGGGCCCCACCTCCGCGTGGCTCCCGCTGCCTGTCGGGGCCGGAGGAAAGGGGGGGATTGGGAAAGGGGGGGTTATGAAATCTGCTGCATGCAGCTGGTTTCGGCCCCACCGAGGGGCCCATTCCTTGAGACACGGGCGCCTCCCGGCGCCGGGGCGCCGGGGAAATCAGCTGCGTGAGCTGATTCTCCACCCCCCCCTTTTGCTATCCCCCCCTTCGCCCGACCCGAGCCTTACGAGTAACCCGAGGTCGGGCGTGTCCCCCTGCAGGCGGATTTTGGGGCGACGAATTGAAACTACGCAAGAAGATTCAAACAATACTGCACAGTAGTAGAAAAAGCGTCCCCAGAGCATTTCTTTGACTTTTTAGAGTGTTCCTGGTTCCTTCTGTAGAGGGACAGGCCCGACTTACAAAGTAACCCTTCCCGTCGCATCCCCAGACGTGCCGGCAGGGCGGGCTGGGCGCGTCGCCTTGCCTCACCGCCGATGGCCCCGAAGCTCGAACTTTGCAGCAGCTTCGCGGATGGAGAGCGGATTTTCGTTGTTGTTTCCTTCGCTGCGGCGCGGCCCGCCCTAGCTTGCTCGGCGTTCGACTCGACTTCGCGCGCTCGCGTACCAAAAAAGGATGGAGAGCGGGTTTGTTTCCAAGTGTGGGTCTCGCCCCAGCGCCGCGATCTCTCGTTTCATTTTTCTGCGACAGCCTCTTGGATGGAGAGCGGTTGCTTTTCAAGCGTTATTCCTCGCTTTAGCGCCGCGCGCACTCGTCCTGAACACTAGGGGGGCAATTCACGAAAGGAGGGCGGCTCCACCTGGAAATGTGGTTTTCGTCGTAGCGCCGCACACATTCGTTTCAAACGGTTGCAACAGCATGTCGGATGGATGACGTTTTGTTTGAGAAATGGTATGTCGCCTCCACGCCGCGCGCATTCGTCTTAACGTGTTCGACAGTTTCGTTGATGGAGGGCGCTTTCTTTACAACATGCGTGTGTCGCCTTCGCGCCGCGCACATTCGTGGCTAAACGTTTGTAGCAGCTTCAGGCTTGTATGGCTGAAGCCACAGGAACAGGCAATGATGGTTTACCTTGCCATCGTTAGTGCGTCTTGGGTTTGCACTCGTCCCTCTTCCTCCTCTCCATTTTGTCTCCTCCTCATCATGCCTTCCCCCTTCCCCGGTCCCCCCTCCGCCTCCTCCGCCTCTCCCTCTCCTCCTCCGCCGCCTCTCCCTCCTCCTCCTCCTCCTCCTCCTCCTCCTCCTCCTTCTCCTCCCGCACGGATTCAATATCCTCCTTCTCCTTCCTGCTCCGCTCACCCCTCCCTCCCACCCCCTCTTCCTCCCTTCCGTCCTCCTCCGCCTCCTCCTCCTCATCCTCCCTCCGTGTCCTCGCGTGCGCTCTCCCTCTCCCCCCCCCCCTCTCCTTGGAAAAGGGGGGCCAGGATGAGCGGGGGAAGAGTGGGGAGTGAGAGGGAACGATGCGAGGGTGGAGGGCGATGAGAGACGAGGGGAGGCGAGGGGAGGGGAGGGTCGAGGAGGGAGGGAGGGAAGGGAGGAGGGGCAGGAGGGGCATGGGGCTGACTTTGACTATACTTAGCTCGTTGCAAGTTAGCTTGAGCGCAGCGGCCAAAAGGACTGGCACAGGCTGCACACGAGAAGCCCGAGAGCATGGACGCTGAGCTGCTTCCGCTCTCGTCCTGAAAACTGTCAGGAGAGAGGTATTGGCGCTGGGGGAGGGGAGGAAAGGATTCGTAACGGAGGAGGAGGAGATAGTAGCGCCGTGCGAAGAGAGACATCAGCGGCACCCTGCTTCGTTGCCCATAGAAGGGCAGCCCTCGATGCAGAGAGCAGTGCGAGGCAGGAAAAAGAAGAGACCTGCCTAGGATTGCCTTCCGAATTTCGGACTGCTATTAAGCGGGAAGAGCTGGGCGGAGGGCCAAAATGGCCAGGCCGCATTGCGGCTGTCCAAACCTCCATGGGAGGAGATCTGGACTGAAGGAGGAGCAGGGGAAGTATAAAGAGGCGGGAGAGGAAGAAGGGCCGAAATGACATGGCCGTGTTGCAGGGCGTACGCTGCAGCTGCGGCCTGTACGGGCCGACCGCGGCGGGGAGGTGGGTGTGCCTGGGCGCTAGCCGAGACCAGACAGCAGAGACCCACCTCCGTGTGGCCCCTCACAGGCACACAGGGACCAAGGGGACCCTGCTACACCTGGACGGGGGCCAGAGAGACAAGCCAAGGCCAGTGCCGCGTTCCTCCCACGAGGCACATATGTTTGCCGCGGCCATGCCTCAGCCGCGCAGCCAAGACGCACTGGAACATGGTGCCTGTCTGTATATATGGCACCTTTGCTGGCCGCTTTGGCCGAGAGTTACTCGGCGGGGCTGTGCTGTAACATCGTTAGGTAATGAGCTGCCAAGGTGAACCAAGAGTATTAGGCCAGCTCGCCACCTAGGAGACTCAGCCGTGGTGAGTCTGCGAATTGCTGTGTGAGCAAGCCGATCGCTGTATAGCGACGCTGCTAAGAGGTGCCGCGCTGACGTCACTTGTGCGGCAAAGTGGAAGGTCGAGCCCCTGATTGGCAACGACTCTTGCACAGGCCCTCCAAGGGGGGCCGGTAAAAAGCAGAGTGACTAGGTGGGCTGCCGAGGTATGTATTAGGCTGGCCCCGCCCCTGTGTGGCGCATTGGCGGTTGCATCATGGGCGCCCATCCCATATTACCTGAGATGGTGCCGGCTGGATGCCGCACAGTTAAAGGCCTTACGGGCGCTGAAGAGTTGCAGCTGCAGCTGAGAGGCCTGCGCGGGCTGTCCGCGACGGGGAGGTGGGTGTGCCTGGGCGCTAGCCGAGACCAGACAGCAGAGACCCACCTCCGCGTGGCCCCTCACAGGCACACAGGGACCAAGGGGACCCTGCTACACCTGGACTGGGGCCAAAGAGATGCGTCGGGGCAGTGGCCACGTTCCTCTCATGAGGCGCTCGTGGCTAGGACTGTCTAGTTAGTGAGCTGCCAGGGCGAACCACGAGTATTAGGCCAGCCCATCCCCTAGAGACTCCGCCGTGACGAGTCAGCGAATTGCTGTGTGAGCCTAGCCGATCGCTGTTTAGCGAGGCTGTTAAAAAGTGCTGCGCTGGCCGCTCTAGTGCAGCAAAGTGAGAAGTCGCGCCCATGAGTGGCGACTACTCCTGGGTAGGGCCCCCCAACAGAGGGGCCGGTGGAGAAAAGAGCGCTAGGTGGGCTGCTGAGGTGAGTATTAGGCGGCTCCGCCCCTGTGTGGCACATTTACGGTAGCACCCTGGGCACCCATCCCAAATTGGCCTGAGATGGTGACGACTGATGCTGCAAGAGCTGCGGTGAGAGTGTACGCCGGCTTGGCCGGCCTTAAATTGGAGACGCGGTGTCTCCTTTATAAGAGTTTGGCTAGCAAAGAAGGCTTGGGCTGTATAGGTGGTGGGCTGCAGGCAAACCAGAATGTGAGCATTGTGCTAACCCACCACCTATGCGTGAGGACTCAGCCGTGGCGAGTCTGCGAATTGATATGTGTGAGCGGCGCTCAGCCGCCTCACTGTTAGCGGGGCTGCCCAAGGTTGTAGAGCCGCACAATGACTGGAAGGGCTGGATGCTGCTAGACTTGCGTGGCATACAACTCAGCTATGCAGGACGGCTCGACCGACCTTGAGTAGGAGAGGCATGGCTCCAGCTGTTTAGGTGGTGGGCTGCCGAGGTGGAGAGAAGACGCTGAAAGGATGTGGCAAGGAAAGTATTAGGCGAGCCCACCACCTAAGTATGCACGCTGCTAGTGGCGCCGAGGTCGCTTAGGTCGACCTAGAAGGGCGCTTATTGATGCGTCATTAGCGTGGCTCGCTCAGGCACTGAAGGGCGACGGGTTGAGAGAGCGGGCGGCAGCAGAGAGCGCCGAGAGACCTGCCGCTGTCGCCGCCGCACGCGCCTGGGCCTCTTGCGCGGCAGCCTGCTGCTGGTTGTAGTGGTTCCTCAGCATGGCCTCCACCTCAGAGATGGTCGCCAGGCCTGGGGTCTCGATCCACTCCCAGTCCCAGGTTTCGACGACCTGGCCGTCGATGACGTCCAGCGACTTGAGCTTCCAGACGAACGGGTATAGCATGCCGTTGGGCATCTTCCATTCGCCCGGGCAAGTGGAGGGCCACCACTTTTTGAACTCGCGCGTGGCGGCCGTGTATTGGGAGCCCTGCCAAGCCGAGCCAGCATAGGTGTCCCCTGAGAGGCCGAAGAGCTCCCGCGTGTCAGGCGACGCCCTGCTGGCCTCGGCCGCGCCCGCCTCCGCCGCAGCCGCAGCGGAGCCACCCGCGCGAGGCGTGGGCACCATGGCGGCGTGGGGCGCGCTGAGAGAAGGGGGGGGGTGCCGAGGAAGCAAAAAGAAATAGCCCATAAGCCAACGGCGGCCAGATGCGAGTGAGACCTAGCTGGCCTGTGCTAGCATCTGTGTGAGGAGGACCCTCCTGACGGGCCGACTGATGCACGCCTGGCCTGGTGCGGAGTCTATAGGGATGAGGATGTTGCCGCTGCGCATGTTGACCCGCAGCGCAAGACCGGTGCGGTAGGGTATGCCCGTGCCAAATAGGATGGGCCGTGCATCTATCTCCTGAAGGATGGGGAGGTGAAAAATGCGCGGCCTTTCCACAGAGGATGGCAGCCTGGTCTCCTGCCCATGGAATTGCTCCATTAGGAGTCCTACATTGATGGGCAGTGGGGACCAAAGCGAAATGGGGCCTGTCGTTATCACTACCATCCACTGCACTGCTGTAGGCGGTGGTGGCGCTGCTTCAGTGGGGGCGCAGCGGAAGTCACCGTGCTCGAACTGCGGCAGGTGCTGCGCCTCTTGGGTCGGCATGGCCTGAGGGCTTAGGGTTCGGGGAGGCGGAGGATTCGAGCGAGGTGGGACAACGGGAGGCAGAATGGCCGTACCATGATCATGGCCTGGAAGTCTATAAGGATGGGGCTGCCGGCCGCTGCATCCTGCAAAAGCCTGTGAGGGCTGAGGGAGGCCTGCTCCCAGGCTCCCGATTGGAGTAGGACCAGAAAAAGTTGGTTCGGCACGTAAACTGAAACTAGCCCTATGGTGGGTGAGAAACGGGCATCGTAGGGACCATCCCCCGCAGCACATTGGGGGTAGATGTGGGGTAGGTTGGGGGAGTTGGCCTCGCGCCAGCGGCCATGCCAGCGCTCGAGTGTGCGATTGACGGCCGTGGGCAAATCTAAGTGAAGCAGAGGGCCCACGAAGGAGCGCGCGTGTGGCCATGCGGGCGGCCCGCTCTCGAGCTGCCATGTGGCTTGCCACTGGGGTGCCGCATTGTGCTGGTACACCGTGGTGGGAGACAGAATGAGTGCGTGGCGCCTTGCGCCGCCGCTAAGAAAGCGGTAGACTTGCTGGTGAGCCAAAAGAAGCCGCTCAGCTAGATGCTTCCATAAGGAAGTCAAGCGAGAGGCTGGATGCGCGATGCTTTGCGGGTCTAATTGTTGCCCAGGGTGCGCCTCAGCAGCGGGCGCGTCCTCGTCTGCATCGGCGTTGTCCAGGATACTGGGCTCGCTCCTCATGGCCTGATGGGGATGAGGCAGGAAGGGGAGCTTAAAGAGGAAAGAGGGAGAGGTTAGGCTTAGGCTGGGGGCTAGCTGCCTGGCAAGGGTCTAGCGCCTGGCAGCCTCACCTCCTTCATGAGGTTTGCGCGGCCTCCTGGGCGACAGACGCTGACCGCAGTGCGAGAGGCTTTCGCCATCTCGCAATTGCATCCTAAGGCGCTCCCTGTGTATCCTGTCGATACGGAGCTGGTCCTGCCTATGCTCTTCTTTGAGCTGAGCAATTTTATTCTCGTGCTCCTTGAGAAATGCGCTGCGCTGTTTGTCCGCTGCTGCGGCTGACGCTGCTGCAGCTGCGACTATAGGCGGCAGGCGCGTGGCTACATGGCCAGAGTGGTGAGACTTGCGAGCCTTGTGATGCCTTGTAGGAGGTGAGGCTGGTGACGAGGCTGGGCCGTGGGAATCCTGCGGGCTGCTTTGAGCCTCTACTGGATCTCGGCGCTGTGGCATAGGCTGCTCGTCCGAGGCTGCATCAGACGCTTTGGCAGGCGAACGTGAGCGCTGTGCTGCATGGGCCGCGCGGTGCGCCTTGGCCTTGCGAGCTCTATGGTGCCTAGGGGGGGGAGAGGCTGGAGGTGTCTGCGTGCCGAGGGACTCCTGCGGGCTGCTATGTGCCTCAGCAGATTCCCTGCGTATTGGCGCAGACTGCTTGAGCGCGCTTTTGCGCGGCTCGTTGCGTAAGCGTGAATTATGGGCCACCTCGGGGGGCTTGGCCGTGAACTCGTCCGCAAATGAGACCTGCTTGCGCTTGCGAGTTGCAGAGGCGCGGGGCGCAACTGACTGTTCCGCCGGCTCTGGAGAGTCGAGCGGAGGAAATGGTGAGGAGGCAGAGGAATATGAGGCGTCGTCCACCTGATCCAGCCTTCCAGGCGATGCTGGGGGACTAGAAGGCTTACTTGGCTGGCTCTTGAATGGCGCAGCTTTGCGGGACTGTTTGCGAGGCTCGCGCATGGGTGGAGGCGAGGTGCACGCTGAAAGGGGTGGAGAAAAAGGAGAGGCTGCCTGGCCTATCCAGCCTTCCGGAATGGCTGCTTTAGCAGGCACCCTGGGATGCTCTGGGGGCGGCAAGGGAGGCAAGGCTGGCGGAGGTGGCGGAGGACGAAAAGTGGCCCCGTAAATGTGCCTGCCTCGACCCATGGAGGGGCCGCTGAAATCGCCAGGCGGCCGCGGGGGATCTGGGGCAGGTGGGGTGCTGGACAGAGAGCGCTGCACCGCTTTGGCTACCTGGGCGAATTGGGCAGGCGAAAGGAGGGGTGGAGGAGCTGAGGCGGACCGAAATTGGCCCGGTGGGGGATGCTTAGGCCTGGCTTCACGCGGCACCAGCACCCGTGGTCGTCTGGACATGGGAGGGACGCCAGCTAAGTGTCGAAGATGTCGGCGTTGAAGTCCTGCGGGGCGGGCGAGGCGGGGTGCCACATGTGAGAGAAGGAAATTCCCGTGAGCGGGACGGGTCGTGCCGCTTGTCGGGAACGTTCGGCCCTGATTTGCCTGGCCCGCTC